AAATATCCAGCTTCCTTCGGATGTGATTTTTCCGCCTATTTGATGTACTTGTCCATATTTACCCTCTCCCAAATATATGTTGTCTGTGTGTGATAACGCCAACGAAACTTTGTTGTACACACTGTTTTTGTAATAACATCAACATCTGTCTGTGGTTCGCGGGGTTTCAAATCGTCACTAAAGTAAGAAGCCGAACACGGAGGCATTCATAGGGAAGCTTTCGTTATATGTATTTGTTACTCATTGTTTCTTTATTTCAAGACAAAAGTTCCATAACAAATTCGCAACAACAATTTAAAAACTTGGATAGACTGAAATTATACAACTGCTCATCTCAGCTTCATCGTCGTCATTAGATAACATCGCCCGTTACTGTTTTCACTCGAATAGAAACAAAAGGTTCACTATATAAGCACATGCTGAGAACACATGTCTGCCCCTATGTTTTTGACATACATTCTGTTGCATCTCTAATTAGAGAGAGAAGGGATATGGTGAGAGACCCGGGACGTGCCCCTGTAATTGGTCTCGTATTTTGGATTTTATTTCTGGTCAAGATAGGTATAAAAAAATATTTTTCCGATTTGATATACTTAAGACTCTATATATGAGCTAATATCTCCACCTCAGATCCCGACCTCAGATCCATATATACATCAACCCTGAAATTAAACAAGGCAATCAACATTTAAAAGGGGATTTAACACGCAATAGAAGCGGGCGCACATTCCTCAGTGAATTGGCTCACATGTGCTTCTAATAGAGAAAATACGGTACCTGCAGTGTTTTATTTGGAATAAACAGTGATGACAGAAATGGTACTTTGGTATAAATATGGGTATAGATTTTGCCACTATCCAGGTATAAAAATGGTCACACTTTTGAGCACTCGGGGGCACCTCCCTCACAAGCTATGTATCACCCCCCCCCCCGGGCGAGATAACGCACCTTACCATTGTCACCACGCGAACCGTGCCACGTACTTCAGTTGATTATATACCCTGTACACAATTAAAATTCAACCTGACGTGACCCTGGGATTCGTGACTTTGTTAATAATTAACATTTATTTTTGTGGTTATGTATATCGACGCATATGCTGACTGCCCAAGCATACGCACCAGCATATTGGTTCGTGGGAAATATGAATATAACTGTAAACACAGCGAATAGACGAGATATTAGCTGCAGGTACTACGGACAATTAGGGACACGTGTTTAGAATATCAACTTCGGAAGTTCGAAAACAGCTGCTACGTTTTCCACTGTACATTGGACTACTGCAACAGTCACCTGTATAGTACGGAATGTCGCAAGGTTGAGTCGTGTGTGCCTGTCAAGAATCATATACTTAGACCGTCAGTGGGTATTTTAATCGGATCAACCAAAAGGTTAACAAGATCGCTCGTTTATTTTCATTAATATTCACCACATAGACGAATTTCATAATGCTGGGCGGAGGTTTGGTAAGTACCCCTATTAATAGGTGATTTATTATCCAGTGACTACCATTAGCGGTTATACCCATATATTAACGGTTATTTAGCGGTTATACCCATATATGTATTTGCATTTATCTGCATAATGTTACGACTATAGTCAAGAATAAACTACAAGATTTAGGGACAACATCAAAAGTTCAATGTAGGATAACAAACTGAATTCCTTTATTTTTATCCAAACCTCCACCGCCAACACCCCCCACTGAAACTTAATTGATAAATATTGATCATGGCGTCACACTACATTCACTATAATTAAATACAAATTGATAATCGGGCAGTAGTATGGCATAGCAGTTGGTTGTCGGGTGGGTGTAAAATCACTTTAAAAATGCACTACTAACAAAGAAAAACAAGCTTTATTTGCACCATTCTTTTAAGAAGTACATTTAATTTACAAAGGTATGTAGGAAATTGACCCCATTTTACGCACATATTTACACTCGGGCCAAACCATTTTCTCGTCTTGGATATTTTTTTTTTTTAATTTTCTGTTATTTTTGTTCATGATTGGATAGAAAAAAAAAAAAAACTACAAATACTCCAAGATTTTTTTGATTTCATTAAAATATAAAATCGTTTTTGTAGGATGGAAACCTGTTGAGGTCAACCCCCCACCCACCCCAAACTAAAGCAAATAAGTTTTTTATCCGACATCGATCTTTTGACGTCGTCCCTTATTTGGTTAAAGTACAGGGCCGCCTATAGTTTGTTATTATAATTATTTTAAGGATATGTCTACATGCTTGATTTATTCGAATTCTTCAAATATTTAATCTTCTTAAATTCAAAATGATTTGATGTTTAAATTTGATCAAGTGTTAGGTCGGGAAAATAGGAACTGAAAATATATCCTCTATGCGCGACACATTGTCATTCAATGTCACAGAAAGTGATTTTAACCCCCCCTCTATATCTAAGAATTAATATAACATATATCAATATGGTTTAAGTTGTACATACGTTTGACAAATCATAAAAATATCACGCCTATAAATCAATATGGTGGACATATCTTGCTTATGAAAGCCATGACTTGTAAAATATAACGAAATACAAATACACACCAAAACC